TGTATTTTCTATTTGACTTACTGTACTGAAAATGTAGCAGAAGTATTTTTGCCATTTGCAAATATAAATTTTCACTTTAGTAAGCATTCTAGTATGTAATGAAAATGGCATTTTTTTTCTTATGTAGTTTCTTCTAAAATGCAAATTCCCTTTTACATCTCTTGAGGTTTGCCTGTTTCCCTCTATGCCTCATCCCCACACCTTGGCACCATTGCACATGTGTGCACATAATCCCCTGTCTTAGGTCCCTTTGTTAATTTCTAAGAATGCTTTTTCTGATTAACATTTTTGAGTCTTACTATCTAGATCAAGGCTGAGTATAGTATCTATCCTTTCCCCCTTTCTCTTGATGTTCTTTAGATAATTAGCCCTGGGCCTAGTTCCTTTGAAGATTAGGGAGGAGGAGTTTTTACATGGTTCTTCAGCAGCAACAAGACAGAAGTTTCATTTCCTGGTGAGGGGATTGGAGAGCTCATGTATGGCAGAGAGAAAAAGGAATTTTCTTAGAACTTATTTGTGTGTTACTACAGCCACAGAAATGAGGTCAAAGGAGCCATTTAGTGGTGCATCGCACCACCTTTCCTTGAACCTAAGATGTCGCAATAGGGAAGGAGAAGTGATGTTTCTAGGTGTCTCTGTGGTACAAGATCTAATTCTGGTCTAGATCTAATTAGATTTTATAAAGGATGATGCTAAATATGGACAAATGGAAAATTGTTTTCTGTTTTTTTGGCTGGGGCATGTTGTTAATGGGAATTGAACTTAGGGCCTCAAGCATGCTAGGCAGCTGCTCTACCATTGAGCATATCCCCATCTGTTCTTAGTTTGAGACAGGTTTTGCAAAGTTGTCTATGCTAGCTTCAAACTTGCCATTGTTCTGCCTCAGCCACTCGAGTACCTGTGATTTGGGTCTTGCATCAGTACTCCCAGCTTCTATTCGGTTTTGAAATCCTAGGTCGTGTCCCCTCTCAATCCCTACCCCAGTGCTGGGGATTGAATATAAGGCCTTATGCATGCTAGGTAAGCCACATCCCCAGCCCTTGAAATTCTTTTATATGAATACAGTCTAACATTTCACTTCAAACAAAAATATGTCACATTTGTGATGACCTAATTTTGTTTAATCCCAGAAAACCATTTATTTAACAATTTGGGTTTATGTATGTGCAGTGTAAAGTATCAGTCCAGGCAATGATGTTTCCTCAAAGCTTTTTGAATGTAGGCTGTATTCAGCAGAGTGTATATGCAAGAAGAAGCAAACAAATAACGAAGTGGGCAAGCACTACTTGTAGTCAATGGAAAGGTAGGGCAGTGGGACCAGTATTTGAAGTCCTGTTTGATCCTGTATTAGGACTTTCTTAACCCTCATAATAACCTGTGAAGAAACTGAGGAGTGAAATAATTTATCAGAGTCACACATTTAAGTGGAGGGACAGGGAAGGGCTTCAATTTGTGTATCTGCTTACAGAAATCTGTAGCTCCTGTGCTGTACTTCCAGGCTTTAACTGTATGTTAGTCTTTCTTTCAACAATAAGAACAACTGTAGTCTCTTTTGGTTCTACCTAATTGGAACTCGACTGTACAGAGGAGTGGTAAATTGCATCATTATCTTGTATAGTTTAAAATGCTGTACTTATGGTCATCAGATTTGAACAGAGAAATGTGTCAAGGATAAACATAGTAAAGGAAAAGTTAGGTTTTGTTTTGCTTTGTTTTTCTTTTTCAGGCCCCCCCCATTAGAACATATTTGTTGAGGTAACTAATTTCATTACACATTTAATGACAATAATGTAGGTTTGAGATCATAAAAGAGGAAAACTGTATAGGAATGTGTGAGCCAACAGATACGTAAGCATTTTGGTATTTGAAAAGTCAGAATTTATTTATGTAGGCTAGGAGATTAGTAAGAGATTACAAACATCTAGCATAGTATATATGAATCGATATTCTTAAATAAGAAGTAGTTTTAGATTGCTTGACTTTTTTTTTCTACTTTGTAACAAATGGCAAAAATGTTTCCAATTAGAGAAACAGTGCCTGGATTAATTGTAGATTGAATAGTAATTAACTAATTGTGTTAAATTTACCTTTAAAGAGAGATGTTTTTAATGATTTAGGAAAGCTAGTAAGTTCATTTATATTTAAAGAATGTGTCACATATCAGAGTTGGCAGCTGGGAGAATGTGCAGATTGGGTAACCTTAAATGTTGTAAGCATGGAATGTGTTCATGTTAATGACTAAATCTTAAATTGGACATGTTTTCATGTAAAATTTAAATGACTATTTTGATGTTCTTGAAAGTCAAAACAGTCTGTTAGTAGCAGTGCAAATGTTTTAACAGTATAGAAGAATAATCAAGTGAGAGCAAGGATGGTGTCCCACGTTTGTTCTTTCTTGTAATGATTTGAGAACTCCTCCTGTTAGTGTTGAGTTTTCTTAGTTACTTCTTTGTGGTTTTTCTTTTTTTCCTTCAAGAGCTACTTTTTCTTAAAAGCAGATGAAATCACTACAAAATATCACCTATCTCATCATTCTGTGTAGCAGGAATCTCCTTTTTTAAAAGAATATCACAGCCAGGTATGGCATACACCTGTAATTCTAGTTACTTGGGAGCCTGAGACTTGAGGATGACAAGTTTGAAGCCCTCCTGGGTCATAGTTAACTGGTATTCATGTATTTGTTCAGAGTATAAGCCCTTGATGCCAAGTGCTTTAAGCATGCTATTTAATCTTGGTTTGCTAATGATAGGTATGAGATGACCTTGAAATACAGGATCATTAATTGTGATTTGTCTTTGAAAGTTGGAAAGGCAACCATTACCCCTTTTTTTTTTAATTGAAGTTTATATAGTATTGCCTTGTCATTGTTTGAATATATTTGAAATGAAAAATGACAGTGGTCATAATTTAACTGTTATATGTATTTAAAATATGAAAATTTTGCTGTCTTTATTTATGATAAACACTAAATTTAAGCTAAGTTATAAGGTATGCTGTTTGGAAATATGGAAGATACAAGAATGAAGCCACATAACAAGTTTTTGCTTGTATTTTCTACTGATGAAGACTTTCAGACAAGTTATTTCCATGGGTAGGTGATGTCACTCTGCATGGATATATACACTTAAACCTTTTTGCATGATTATACATGTAGGAGTGGTACAATTTTGACTTGACTGTTGACCTGGTTCCTCAATTTAGGGGTGGAGGTGGGGAATGTGAGGACAAGAAGTTCAGAATGGTAATATTGATAAATTTAAAATAAATCACTAAATAATTTATTGCAAATTCCTGAAACATCCACAAAGGCCACTTAAATCGAATGTATGGTCAAATAGTCAATATTGTACTTGGCCCTCATATCTTTTGCACCTAAGTATTTGGACATCACACAGTATCTTGATTCCATAATAATCATTTTGAACTCTGACGAAAACTCCATGAATCATGAAACTTTCTTTTCTTTCTTAGAAAAGAAAAATCTCAACAACAACAACAAAAAAAACCCAACAGTTGTTTTTTTTTGTTTGTTTTTTTTTCTATTTGAACTAAAATCCATTACTAGCTGATACCAAGACCACATGGTCTTTGATGAACTTGATTGACCCCATTAGGAGAACTGGAAATTATTTTTGAGTAGCCAACTAAAATTGCCATGATCGTCAGAATTTCATTTTGTGACATGTCTGTTCTTTATACAGTGGCACTTAACAATTCATTTGCTTTTATGTTTGGTCACCTTTTGTTTTAAAGATGTTGCTACATAAACCTATGGTTCATTAGGTGCTCAGTTGTAAGTAATAAATACCCCAGGTGTGTTCTGTGTTATTGTTCAGTGACAGTTTACACAATGGATGTATGTATTAAAACAATAATTCTTCATTTTTATATTTTCATTGGCATATACATTTCTTAGACAAAGTTTCATAAAGTAGGAGTGTTTAATATTATTATTTTTTGGATGATATTAGAAAACCAGAAATAAATGATGGTTTGCTTGCATTTGATAAATAGCTGTTGAGAAGGAAACAGCATTCCTTTATTTTATCTTTATTCTAAAATGGGGGTAGTAGAGGATGTCTTGAAAGAAAACTATTTTTGCTTTTGCTGTCATGTTAGGAAAAAGGTAGCATTAGCATTTTAAAGCATGTATGTATTTTACACGCATGAATATTGAGATATATTAGCATGAATTGCTGCAGTGTAATTACTTTGAAATTCAAATGTTTTTTTTTTTTTTCCCAACTAATTAAGGTGATTTGGGGATTGGAGAGATCTCTTATTTTTCCAGTAAGAACTTTTATGTCTCTCTCTAAAATCATTCATAAAATTACGTATCATTTACTTGGAGTATGAGCTGGTTGTCTGTCTCAGGAACTATACATACATACACATATAATCTATATAATTATTTTCTGTGGGTATTGCTGTTTTGTAGAATGTTGTAGAGTATATAACATTATTATAAAAGGGTTTTACTAGATAAATAAGTAGAGCTCTAGTATTAACTTTATTTCTTTAGTAAGTAGGAAAATATAAATTTGATTTTCTTCTCTGAATCTATTAGTGTCTTTTAGTTATAAGGAGAACTAGATTCATTTTCTTAAAATAATAAATTGGATTTTAATAGTTTACACCAGATTTTTCCTTTAAAAAGTCACTTTCACTTTCTTTGTGGAGTCATCCCTTTTTTCTTAATCTGTCGCTCTTTAGGAGTCTGACAGGAATTCAGTGTAACATTGTTCAGTATAGTCTTGTCTTTTGTTCTTCATAATAACACTCCTTTTCCTCCTTCCAAAATGTGTTCCTCATCTTTGTAAACTTGGATTATCTTTTTCACTTTCACATCATGACAAAATATTAGATGTGTAAAGTTCAGCTTTTCTAGTGAGATAATAATATGGTAAAGGTAACTGACATTTAGAAGATTCTTGTTTAGTTTCAGAAGTATTTTTCACCCCACAAGTTAGATACAAGTATACATTTTCTTTCCTCCCTAGATGGACCTCCAGTTGTAGCTCATTATGATATGTCCGACACCAGCTCTGACCCAGAAGTGGTAAATGTGGACAATTTATTGGCGGCTGCAGTAGTTCAAGAGCACGCTAATTCTGTAGGCGGCCAGGACACAGGAGCTACCTGGAGAACCAGCGGGCTGCATGCCAAGGCAGGTTGGTCTCTCCCTTCTCCCTTCTCTAATGATGTAATCTGCATGTGTCCTGGTAGCTGTATCTCCTGGTGGTGGACCCTGCTGAGGAGAGCAGGCCATACCAGAGCCATCTAACATCAAGTGGTTGTGACTAACGAGGCTGCCACTGATAACTGAAAAAATTGGGTAGCATATCATCTATTTTAATCAGAAGGAAGCAAAAATAAGAATATATGACGTTAATTGTAGGCATCAGTAGATTTCAGTAGGTGTATTTCTTGAGTTAAAAATGCCCAACATGTGTAAAAACAATCCAGATACTCTTGCACTCTTTGGTTAGTTCTTTTTTCGTCACTTAACTCTGAATAGTAACCTGTAACAGGGAGCTTTTCATCTGCAATGCTGTCACTGTTTCTTCTGTTTGATGGGGAATGTCTCTGTTAGTTTCTTTTCAGTAAGTTCTCTTTGTCTCTTCTAACCCTTTCTTTCGATTTCTGCTTCTGTTATTTCAGGGGAAAAAACTCTTCTCCTTGTCCTTATCTCTTGCATTATTTATCTTGGTTCTGTGATTATTCTTAAGAGGATTTATTCACTAAAAAGCCCACCACTATTTCCTTTGGAAAATTCTCACAGTGTCTCCATGTTTCCTTCAATGTCATCCTTAAACATTCTTTCTAACTTAAACCTTAAAAAAAAAAAAAAAGAACTTTAGTTAAAGATAAAGGGAAGAGGGAATAAGAAAACAGACTGCTTATATAGTGTGTATTTTCTTCAGTCCTTTTGAAGGATTATGTGCATTGACTTAAGTACTAAGTCTGTTTAATCATTGTTGAAAATATTATTTTTATGAAAACTGAATTTTATTACCCAAAAAATGAGTAATAGTTTAGAATGTACTATAGTATAGCAGTGTGCCTTCGGTCATTGTCCTGAATTCTTCCTCTTATAATCTTTGTTGACCTTTTGATTAATTTATTGTGGCTGATTTTGAACCTATGCCCAGATTTAATTTTGGCTTTGTTTTGATTGCTAACTTGCTCATTGATTTTGGATCAGTCATTTCTCCTCTTGACTTTGGCTTTTATAAATAATTTTTTGGGGGGTCCAAGCAGGGTCTTTTTTAAGGATTTACTAATACAATGAATATGTGTAAGTATTTTGAAAAGTATTCAATGATAATAATTCTTTATATCAAAGGACAGTAGTTTAATCACATTTTGTACAATATAGGTTTGTAAGCTATGTAATTTGTTCTGTATACTAGATGGTTTATCTTTTTAAAAAAAAAATCCATTGATAATCCAATCAATCATTCTACTTCAGTTTTATTTCCCCATTCCCTTAGTGTGTCCCTTAATATGGACCATATTATAGTAAAGTTCTTGTAGGAAAAAAAAAATGAATGACTCTCAATATTTTGCTTTTCATGTAGAGAATTCTTAATAGTAAGTAGAACCATATAGAATTACTAATTTAACTTTTTGATCTATTACATCCTAGCAGTTTTATTTGTTTCAACCAAATAGTGAAGGTTTGAGGTCCTAAAACATCATTAAAGTTACCATTATCAGGGATAAGGATAGCATTTACATTTTCATATTCAAATATAGTCCTATAGTATCTATAAGAGATTGGTCTCTGAAAGTTCTGGGACCAAGGACGCTCAAGTTCCTTATATGAAATGGTACAATATTTACATATAACCTGTGCATATCATCTGTATACTTTCAGTCATCTCTAGTTTACTTATAATACCTAATACATTATTAGAACTTTGTAAATAGTTTTGATCCTATATTGTGTAACCTGAAAACACTGTATTTGTTTAGTACAGTCACAACACCCCTGCCTCCAATATTTTTCATTTGCATTTGCTCGAATCTGTGGATATGGAACCTGTGGATATGGAGGTCATACTGTAATTGTTAGATTGTTTATTTAAAACATCTTACCCTGGTACTCACCATTTTGTGTTGTCCCCCCCTCACCTTCCTGTGGTGCTAGGGATTGAACCCAGGGCCTTGTGCATGGGAGGCAAGCACTTTGGCAGCTGAGCTAAATCCCAAGCCCCCTACCAAAGTATGTGAGGAGGGAAGCACTAATGGTTTCATCTCTGTTCTTCCATTTTCCCCAGAGCCGTCCTAAATTTGACATTTAATGTTTGATGTTCCTATGTATTTCTTGGTGTATTTTTACTTCATGTGTTATGTAATTATAAGTGTGTTTTAAAACTTTGTAGTTCACATGCAGGTAATCATTTGAAACTTTCATTTAGTTCATCATTTTGTGAACTTTGAGCTTGTTTTATGTGGTCTAGTTCATTGAGTTTTCCCTGCTATTTAGTATTTCACTATATGAATGTATTCCAATTTACATATTCTCGTTGGATGTTTGGGAGCTGTTTTAAATGATGTTGTTAACATTTCTTGTATGTGTCTTTTGATATGTGTGTGTGATAATTTTTCATAGCGTATAATAGAGATCACATGTCTGTATTGGGCCATTAATTGTGTGGAGGTTTTTGTTTAGGATATAGAATGTAGTCACCATTGTTTAGTAGCTCCCAGTGATGTTTTCTAATGAAGCCATTTGCTCTTTCAAATAAATTAAAATTTGATGATGTAGGAATGTGAATAATAAATAAAACAATATTGTCGTTATTTAAAGAGGGAATCCATCTTACAAAGCTGAGTATATTTACATTGTCACAACAAAATAGTTAAGAGTTTATGCTTGTCAGTTTATAATTTCAAGATTTGGCCTATTAAGATTTGAATTTAAGATAAATATTCTTTTTTTTTTTTTTTTTGGTCGTGCTGGGGTTGATAAAACCCAGTACTTGCCCTGTGTGAGGCAAGTACTCTACCAACTGAGCTATATCTCAAGCCTTAAGATAAATATTCTAATGGTTAGTTTGGATCCTCTGTGTTCCCTTTATAATGAAGTAGAATCCTAGTGACTGAACAGACTAAGGGTTCATTTCAATCAGTAGTAGCATCTCAGAGCAGTTCTACAGCCTTTAGGGTCATGTAAGTAGTAATTGGAGGTAGAATAACTTGCTGCTTTTTCAAAGCAATTGGATGAAGTTCTTACATCCAAAATAGATGTTGCTATTTAATAGTTTTAATTTTAACCTAAAAAAAAAGTTGAATAGCAAGCAGATTTAAAAAAATAAGTTGAAATCAGGGAAGCCTCTGGTCAACAAAAGACTTAAAATTTCAACTCTTGCTATGTGTTTACTTTTTCTTTACTTGATGCTAGAATTGTATAGGGTGGTTTTCAACAAGCAGCCACTTAGAAACTGTGTGACCTTACTTAGGTAAACTGTGTAAAGTCTTAGTTTTCCTTGTGTGCAAAAATTGGGATAAAAGTAGTATCTATTCTAACTGCTGGGCGCAGTGGCACACACCTGTAGCCCCAGCAGCTTGGGAGGCTGAGATAGGAGGATTGGGAGTTCAAACCCAGCTTCAGCAAAAGCGAGGTGCTAAGCAATTCAGCAAGAACCTGTCTCTAAATAAAATGTAAAATAGGGTTGGGGATGTTTCCCAGTGATTGAGTGTCCCTGGGTTTAATCCCCAGTACCTAATAATAATAAGAACAACAACAACAACAACAACAAAACCAACAACTGGTATCCAAAAGATTATTGTTGCTGTTAAGTGAAATAATATAACAGTGTGCTTAGCATGGGACCTAGCACACAGTAGCTTTTAAAGCCCTTGAGAAAGCATTAGGTTAATAAGAAAGGGATTGATGGGTCAGTCAGTGCATTTCTAGTTCACTGTCCTTCCCTGGCATGAGTTGTTCCTGCTACAATGTTTTCTGAACTTTGCTTGAGCCTAGACATTATCCAGTGTTCTAATAAAATTCAGAATCCTTCACTTCTCCCTGAAGATTTTATTAATAGATATGAAATGGAGTCTGGGAATCTGTTTAATAATAACTCCCTGGTAACTCTTGTGTCTAGCATATTTAATGAATGGATCTGCATAGCTGAAAAATGGCTTTATTTTAATTGTTAGTAATCACCCACTATAAACGTAATTATAGTTGGAATTACAAAAAGAAGTCTGAGTTATACTCTTGGTAAGAAAGATCTGTAGTTGTGATGATAAACAGAATTTGTTGGTTTTGTCCTGGGAAATGATAAATTCTAAACATCTCTATTTTTCCATCATGCCTTTCTGGTCAAAGTTAGGTAGGCTGTGAACATTTTATCTTATCCTTAAAATGGGGATAGTAATCTTAATCTTTGCATAACAGAAGCATAGTGGCAGAGAAACAAACCTTGATTTTCCTGTCCCTAATGTAGGATTTTTTTTTTTTTAAAAGAGAGTGACAGAGAGAGAGAGAATTTTTTAATATTTATTTTTAGTTCTCGGGGGACACAACATCTTTGTTGGTATGTGGTGCTGAGGATCGAACCCGGGCCGCACGCATGCCAGGCGAGCGCGCTACCGCTTGAGCCACATCTCCAGCCCAGGATTTTTTTTTTTTAATAATTTGACCAGAATGGCCCTGTTTCTGTTGATAGCAGATCAGAGAAGTATGAGTCTTGTGAAGGAGGTAATGTGGTCAAGCCTCTTTTGATCATAAGTAATAGGTTTAGGTTCTCATCTCCCCTTAATGTTCTTGTTGAAAGAAGTAAGCACATAGTAATAATTTGCATGTTTTTAAGGCTAAAGTGATTTAAGGTAGTAACCTTGTTTTACCTAGCCTTCCCTTTGTCATCCAGTATGTAATACTTTGCTTTAATGAGATGCAAACAGGCAAAGGCCTAGTGCTTGTCCATTAGACTGAAAGGGATTGATTAAAAGTAGCTGCATTATTTCTTTTGAAGACAAAAGAAACTGTTCACCAGTTCACCATGGTATTTTAGTTACTACTTTTTCTTTGCTGCTGCTGCTCTCTCTTTTTTTTAAAGTCCTGTCTTAGTAACTCTTATTTATGTCTGTAGTGGGAGGACAAAAATTTAGAATTTTTTCACAGTGAATGAAATTCTCCCAAAGATCTACACAGGCA